TGCCTTGGATGGTGGTGGGTGGGTTTTGCTGATCAAATCTGGGGTCTCCTCTGCCTGCTGAGCCGTGGCCTTTCCTCCCCGGGAGCGCTGGGCTGCTTGACCTGAGCACTTAAGGTTTTGTCTGTCGAGAGGGAACTTAACCCGGCAGCCCCTCCCTCCGTGTCTGAATTCCACTGTGTTTCACGGGGCTTCTGTGATTGAAAAAATCCAGGAGCCAAAGAGAAGTTCCCTGGGATCGTTTGGACGCCGGGGAGAGGGAGGGGGCGCTAACTGGGAGGTTGTGCTGCCGCCGGCTGGTCCTGCGTGCGGGGGGGAGAGCGGGTGGGGAAAGAAATGGCCTTGGTTTTCCAAAAGATGCTGGAGAGCTCACAGCAACCAGCACGGCAGGAACCGGCGCAGGGCTGGGGAGGTCCCCTCGGTGCTGGGCTGGGGAGGTGTCCTTGGTGCTGTGTTGAGGAGGTCTCCTCGCTGCTGAGCTAGTGGGTGGTTTGGTCCTCATCCCTGGGGATGGGGTCCTGCAGGTGGGTGCTGGGAGCAGCTTATTCCTGCATCATCTGGACTTCTCCACCAGCTCAGCCTTTGCCTGGTTTTTCCAGCCCCGGTGCAACCGGGTGGGCTCAGCCCAAAACCAGTGTGAACCAGCTCTGAACTGGGAGCCAACAGGTCCTGCAGAGCCAAAGGAGCATGGTCTCATGCCAGGCAGAGCTCTGTGCTCCTCGGGAGTGGGGTAGGCTGGGAGAGGGGTGGGCTGCTGGGACCACCAAGTGGTCCCAATAACTCTCCCCTTGGCTCTGCCAGGGGTGATAGAACCACAGTGATCAGGGCTCAGGTTGGTGGCACACGAGATGGGAACTTGCCTGCCTGCAGCAGCTCGGGCTCCGTGGAGCTAATGGCAGGAAAATGACTTGGTTTTGACTGGGAGTCCTGATGGGAGCAGAGCAAAGTAGAGAAATGGGCCGTTTCCTTCCTTATTTATTTATTCCCACCATGCAAAGGAGATTTTCCCTTGCTGTGAAGTCCCCGTGTTGAGGGGCAGGTCTGGGGTGGCTCCAGCAAAGAGAGGGGGGCTCTGTGGTTGCAGCCACGATGGGCCAGGTCAGCTCTAGGGGTCAGGGTGGGACATTGCTCTCTTGGGATCCATGGCTGTGATGTTTGGGTCCCTCTGGGCTGTCTGTTCCTGGGTCTGCAGCAGCACCAGGCTGGGGAAGGGAAATTCCATAAGCAAACCCCAGGCAATGCATGTGGGGGCTCCAGCTGCCTCTCCTAGAGATGCACCAGCCCTGGGGAGCAGCCACGGGTGCTCTTCTTGGCTCCAGAGCCCCGGGATGCAGGTCCCTGTGGCAGGACTGGCTGGTGGGGATGCAGGCAGGGATGCATCCCAGCACCTGTCAGCATCTCTGGGCTCTCTGGGATGTGGTGAGCCCAGCTCGTGTTCCTCTGCAGCCCTGGCCTGAGTGGTGCTTGCAGGGATGCGAGGAAGGAGCCGTGGGAAGGGGCCACAGAGGGGAAATCTGGGATGGTCCATCCCTCCCACCAGCACTAGGTCTCTTCTCTGGGCACTGGAGATGGTTTTGCAGCTGGAGCTCTGTGTGGCACAGGGGGATTTTTAATCAGCGTTTGATTTATCTTCCCCTACCCAGGGGCCTTCACAGCTGGTGAGGATGGTGCTGGCCAGTGGCTTGCTAGCCCGGCCACCACTAGAGGGGAGCAAGATGCCACCGTGCAGGACTGGCCCTGTGTCCTGGGCTCCTGGGGCACAGGTGCCCGTGTCTCTCCCTGTCCCAGCACTCACCTCTGCAGCTCCTGACCCTCCTTAGGTGGGTCTTGCTCAGGCTGGGCAGTGATCTGTGCCCGGGGTCTGGAGATCCTGTTGGTTTGATTCCTCTTTGTGGTGTTTTCTGGATGGTGGATCCAGCCGTTGTGAGTGATGGGAAGGCTGGTTCCTCACTGGCCAGGTGCTGGTGGGAAGTGGGAGGGAGCAGCATTGCTCCTTCCTTTGGCACTGGGATAAATGCCATGCAGGGCATAACCCCCCACCCTCTTTATCATCACCCTGGGGGGTCTGTACCTGCACCTGACCTGTTGCAAATCTCCAGCTGTTTCTTTCCCCCTCGGAGCTGTGCAGATGGGGCAGGGTGGTGGCTCCATCCTCTCCCTGCCTGGAGCACTTGGGCAGGGCTGTTTCCCTGCATCTCCCTCCAGATGTGCATGTCCCTGCAGATGTGCAGGACCAGCCTCAAGGGGGAAGGGCTGGTTTGGGGACACGAAGGAGCCAGATGCCCTGGGGACACAGAAGCTGGTTCCCACTTTGGATGAAGGATGGGGTTTCCCTTCTTCTTGCCCTTGCCCTCTAAGGCCTGGGCTCCTGCCTGCTCCCCTGATGCTGCCCACTCTCCCCTCCCTGGCAGGGCTGGGGCCAAGGGTTGGGCTGAACTGGGAGAGCACTGGCCCTGTGTGGCTGTGGGGGTGCTTGAGGCAGGGGGAGGGTGAGGGGACGAAGGGGGTCCCCATCTCCTGCCCCTTTTTGACAAGCTCCTTGGGTAATTCAGGCTGCATCTCCCCTAATGATTCAGGCAGGGATTCAAACCAGCTCCCTGCTCCCCTCCCCGTTATTCCTGCTTTCTTCTTGCCTGCTGTGATATTTTTACCTTCAGTTCATTCAGATTAGGTGATCAAAGGAGGTACAAAGGGGAGAGAACAGAGAGGAAAGAGCTTAAAAGAAGAAAGGGAGAAGCTGGGGGCTCTGGGGGCACTGCTGCCCCGTGGGAACTGCCCTGGGCTCAGGGGATTTTCCTGGGATTGTGTCCACGTGGGGACCCACTGACCTTCTCCAAAGAGCAGAAATGTGGCTGCTCCTAGAACCATGGAATAGTTTAGGTTGGAAGGGACCTTCAAGATCATTCCAGTCCCACCCCCCTGCATGGGCAGGGACACCTCCCACCAGCCCAGGCTGCTCCAAGCCCCATCCAACCTGCCCTTCAACACTGCCAGGGATGGGGCAGCCACAGCTTCCCTGGGCAACCTGGGCCAGGCTCTCACCACCCTCACACCAAAGAATTTCTTCCTAAGATCTCATCTGAACCTCCTCCCTTCCAGTTCAGAGCCATGATCCCTTGTCCTATTGCTACATGCCCTTATAAAATATATCATGGGGTAAGATGCAAGGAATTACTTGATTTCAGCTGGCACGGGGGGTCTGTGGTGTTTGGGTGTCTCTGGAACTTCCCTTCCCCTGCCTCCTCCCCGTGGGAAGAGCCAGATCTGCTTCCAGGTGGCAGTGGGAGCCACGTTCCCCTGCTCCAACCCATGGGATGGTTCTTTCAAAGGAGACTGGACCATGTGGAGGGTGGATCCCTGTCCTGGATCCCCATCCAAGTGGGGCTGTGGTTGCAAGGGCTCTCCTGGCAGGTGGGTGTCCTGCTGCAGCACTTCCAGGCTCCTGGTTTTTTGAAGGAAAGAGCTCAGCAAGAGGTAATTCTGGTTGCTTAAAAGCCTGGGCTGTCAGACCCACTTTGGAAATGGGCCTTCACGAGGCTCAGACAGGGCAGGGATGTGCATAATTTATGGAGCTGAGTTGAGGCAAGGGCCCTCCTGGCTGGGCTGGGCTGGGCTGGGCTGGCTGTGGAGCTGGGAACCTCCTCCATGGTGTAAAGGTGCTTGGCACAGCAGCTCCAGCAGGTAGCACCCCTCTGGGCCAGCTGAGGATCTGGCCCAGCAGGGGCAGGATGGGGTGCTGGGCTCTGTGCTGCAGCTGAGGTTAATTTCACTTGTTTCTTCAGTCTCTCTGTTGTAGCCTGTCCTGCCTGGGGAATGCATTTGCCTGCTCAGCTCTGCTCTGCTTTTTGGTGCCTTGCATTAATCATGTGTTGCCCTCGTAGCATCCACCAGTAGTGGGAAGGGCTGTGGGCAGAGCCCTTCCCCAGAGGGGAAACTGAGGCAGGGAGGGAGCATGCTGCTTGGGCAGGGGCAGCTCTGGGGCTGCTTGAGACATGGGGACTCATGGCAGGCACTTGAAAAACCTGGGGCTCAGTCTCCAGGTCCTTCAGCACTTCCTTAGTTGAGCTGGGTGGTGCAGGGGATGGGGAAGGGCTCCTGTCCCAGAGCCCACTGGGGACACGTGCCTGGCAGGCATGGCAGGAGGCCTGGGAAGGTTTTCAGCCTCACCTGGTTTTTGCTGGGGACAGGAGTTTGTGTCTGGCTGGGTTATGGATGGGGACAAGGAGAGGGCAGGTGGGCACAGCAGGGGATGCTCCAGATGGGAGCATATTTGGCAGAGGGGCTGTTCAAAGAGCAGGTTTCTCCCCACATCAGCTCAAGGTCTAAATCAAGCTCAGCTTTAAAGTTGTCTCCTGTGCTCAGCTGTGCCCTGGGCAGGAGGGGAGCTCTGGGGTGGGCAGGGACCAGGGCTGGGGGTGCCTGGGGGTTTTGCCCTGCTGTGGTCTGTCCCACCTGGAGGCTCCCTGATGGGGAGATGTGATGGGACAGGTCCTGATGGCTCCTTCCAGCCCCAAACCAGCCACCGACCTGGTCCTGCTCCTTGGAGCAGGGTGAGCTGGGGGCCCCTGCAGGGTTTGAGCTGAGCCAAAGCTGCCGATGTGCCTTAAAAATCAAGCGAATCCCAAGTCTTGTCGTTGCTGCTGTTTTTTCACAGCATCCCCCAGCGTTAATTTCTGAAAAGCTCGGGATACCTGAGCTCCTCTTCATGCCCCTGCTTGATTTTTTTTTTCCCCCTCTCTCTTCCTCCCCCCTCCCAGGGGCTGCAGAGGAAGGACCAGAAGCTTTGCTTGTACTCCCGCCTCCACCTCTTCTCCCGGCCATGCAGCCCCCGGTGCCCTCCTGCTGCCCGGCCTCCCGCTGCTCCCCGGGGACCAGCATCTCCACCGGGAACCACTGACAGCGCCGGGAACCATGGGGAGCCACGGGAGCTGAGCAGCCCTCCCTCCTCAGCATCACCCCCTGAGCCCCCAGACCCAGCCTGGGGGCTCCTCCCCAGCAGGGCGATGAGCGGGGGTTCCTTTTGCATGGAGCGTCTTTCCTTCTGCCTCCTCCTGAGTGCCTGGAGCTGGGGGTGGGCGCCCGGGGGGGCCGCCAAGCCCAAAAGCCAGAGCTACCCACACATGAACTCCATCCGCATCGACGGGGACATCACCCTGGGGGGGCTGTTCCCCGTGCACGGGAGGGGGGCAGAGGGCAAAGCCTGCGGGGAGCTGAAGAAGGAGAAGGGCATCCATCGCCTGGAAGCCATGCTCTTCGCCTTGGACCGCATCAACAACGACCCCGACCTGCTGCCCAACATCACCCTGGGTGCCCGGATCCTGGACACCTGTTCCCGGGACACGCACGCCCTGGAACAGTCGCTGACCTTCGTGCAAGCCCTGATCGAGAAGGACGGCACCGAGGTGAGGTGCCTCAGCGGGGGGCCCCCCATCATCACCCGCCCCGAGAGGGTGGTCGGGGTCATCGGCGCCTCGGGCAGCTCCGTCTCCATCATGGTGGCCAACATCTTGAGGCTCTTCAAGGTAGGAGGGTGAGGGAAAAGCAGGCGTGTTTTTGGGGAGCGTTTCTCCACGCGTGTCTCTTCCTTCCCAGCAGGGGTGGGCGGGAGATGGTGTCTTGAAATTCTCCTCCTGCCTCCGCCGGGTCCCTGGGGACCCCTTGTTTCACCCCCTCATCTGGTGATGGCACTTTTAAGGAGGGTTTTTGTCTCTTCTCCCCTGGTTTTGCAGGGATGTGGGGGGCTGGGGGTGGGTGTTGGGTGGGATAACTTGGGCTGGAAGGGACCCGGGGGGTTCATCCCACCACCCGTGCCCACCAGAACCATCTCCGGGGTCAGACCAGGTTGCTACTTGCTTGACTGTGATTGGTCCTGAAAACCTCGGGGTGACTTTTCTGCCCCAGCCCAGGGGGCATCAGCCAGGCTGGGGACACTTGTCCCGTGTCACTGGTGTGCAGAGGGGCACAGAGTGCTCAGGGCTGTGGTGGGACAAGGACTGGCCCTCCTGCCTCTCTCTGCCAGCCTCAGGGGAGCTGAGGAGTTCAGAATTATTTCCCCCTTGTTGTGCCTTTATTTATCCACAGCAACATCCCTGGGCTAGAGGGTGTCCCTCTGCAGCAAAGGGCAGGAGAAATGTCACCATCCCACACACCAGCAGTGCTGGGAGCTGCACCCAGAACGGGATCCCAGCACCCCAAAACCCCCTCAGTTCTCCACGGTTACTGCCATTTACCTTTTTCCCTTCCCTTTCCTCTTTGGAGAGCACCAGTTGCCCTCCTGGTAGGGCTGGGAGCTGTTAGAAGAGGTGGAAAAAACAGATTCACTGATGGGGTTTGATTTTTCTGGGTCTTTTTTTTTTCTTTAAAAAACCAACCCAGAACAAAACCCGTGTAAATGCTCCAGGCAAGGAGTGAGAGGGCTGCTCAATAATTAAAATAATATAAATTAGAGGGAGCGGGAGGAACTTAAAAGCTATTTGCTGAGACAAAAAAGATTGAATGCTTGCCTGGGAGAGGAGGAGGGAAGCAGACAGTGGGAAAGGAGTCAGGAGAGTGACAGGCAGAGGAGGAGATGTACCTGTGCCCTTTCTGGCTGTTGCTTTTTTTTTTTCTTCCACTTCAATTTTAATCCTTGGGTCATGCCTTGACCCGTGCAGCAAGGATGTCATAGGATCATAGAATAGAATCACTGGCTGGTTTGGGTTGGAAGGGACCTTCAAAATCATCCAGTCCCAACCCCCTGCATGGGCAGGGACACCTCCCACCAGCCCAGGCTGCTCCAAGCCCCATCCAACCTGCCCTTCAACACTGCCAGGGATGGGGCAGCCACAGTTTCACTCAGCCCAGATGCACCCATGCCCCAGCCTTGCACCTGGGCACTGGTGAGGACCTGTCTCCAGCCCTGGGTGTCCCCAGCAACTTTAAAATCCAGAGGTGACACCAACCCAACGTGACAGCAAGAAGGCAGGTAGAGGATGGAGACCCTGAGATCCCTGGGAGGGGATAATGCAGGATGAGCTCAACTCTTCCTAGACATCAGCAAACCCCTGGGTGAGGGGGAGGGGGGTGCAGTCCCTGGTGCTCCCCAGCACAGGGTCATCATTCCCACGGGATGTGCTATCGTGTTCCCACAGCAGCAGGGACTGGGGAAGCTGGAGGAGGCTCTTCTCCCTCCCTGGGACCTGAGAGGAGCTGCTGCTGCTCTTTGTTATTCAAACAGTGGCTTTATGGCAGGGACATGCTCAACATGAAAATCAGGCACCTTCCATTTCAGGCCTGTGCTGACCTTTCAGGAGGTTCAGCCGAGCCCCGGGCACTGCTCCACGTGCAGCTGACTCTGCCTGTGCCCTCGTGAAAG